TTCTTGCTGATGTACCCCCTTTTCCATAGCATGAAATTGCAATTACAGTATATTTCTACGGTGAAAACGAGGCTGAAGCCCAGAAATCCCCCATATTACATGTGGTATTGCATTATTCAATCAGATGTTACACTTGCTTACGGACTCGTTGAAAATGCTTTTACAATGACAAAAAAAGTTCTTCGAGAAAATAGTTTTGAGTTTCAAAGGCATTTAAAATGTTTTTTGTACGAGGCATCAAATATGTGCTTTTTTTTTTTCGAGAAACACCAAGTGTTTTTTCACAATCTAGTTAGATTTTTACTAAAAATTAGTTCCAAAAACATTTTTCCCAAAATCGCTTTCCGTCACTTTAAAAGCACTTCCGAGCTCTTAACATCATGTAAGTTGCTATGGTTTGGCTGGGTGAAGGGATGGAATTATTGAGCAATTAGAGCTACTCCAGAGCTGGTAAGCACAAGCAATCCTACTAACTTCACACTCAGAAAGCAAACGCGTTTACGAGACACAAAACATCCGAATAACATGGCCAAGAAACCAAGCAAGTTCATTAAGCATCATGATATCGCAAAATTGAGGAAGGTAAACGACTTCGATACCAAATATTAAGGCAAAATTCAAGTTTTTGTAAAATAGCATAACATATCACAAAGCTCCAGGTTAAAAAAAAAGAGAGAAGAAACAAAACCATTCCCATGATCTGCTAGTTTACTCCATGCCAGTTTAAAAGATGGAAAAGCTACAAAATGCTCGTAAAAACTATATGCCAACGATGCAACAAAAGTTGGACTAACTTCAGATACAAGTCTTTGATGGCCTTATAATCTTCTCTCGCTTCGCAACTATTAAGAGATGTAGCCAGGTTTCCCCGTTCTCAGCAATTGTGAAAATCGATTTAAATCTGCAGTCACCAATCAACGATGAATCAATCAACTATATACGATCAAGAGATATCCAATGTTATTATGACCATAAGTCCGAATGCATCATACAACAGGTAACACGTGAAATGTCAATTAGTGACCTCAACAAGTTAAACACATTCATCCCAGAACCCAGGATTTCATTTCAAGATCAGCAACGAGAAGAGTTCAGTCAACCACTCTACAATTTGGCAGAGTGATTCTGGAAATACACGAGTGTCCCAACAAAAGGATAAATCCTAAACAATCCAATTTGTCTCTAATATAATGACTCCTAACATCATACACTGATCCCCGCTCTCTCACCGTTTAATCCATGATACAGGAACAATGGAATCTATATCTGATGAAGAATGGGGCCTAGAATCGACTCGGCAAGAAGTGATCTGTGAACTTGGCACTGTCTAGTCAGTTGAAGTTTCAATGACTAAAGTAAACCATTACATTCATAATCAAAAACTTTTAACAAACTAGAACTAATACCTGATTCACAGGGAAATCAAATAGACAAAGACCAACAAGCAACAGTGAACGTAATTAAAATGCTTAAACATATACCAAAATTTTCAAAATATATAAAACAATAAGGAACACATATTACAGTAGACAATGCAGCAAGAAACATTACCCTTCAAGCTTCAACAGCATCAACCGGCTTATCCTCAACATCATTAGCAGCAACATTCGGCTCAGCACCTTGCCCTTCCTCCGTGGGTGGCTGAACTTGCTCATCCTCGGGCAGTGGCTCCTCCACATAGTCATTCTCAAAAGCATCTGGAGGCACCTCATAGATCCTAACTTGGGGCTTCGATGGGTCCTTAACAAGCACATACTTTCCCTCATTCAATTTCATACACAAGTCCACAATCGACTTCACAATCCCCCACATACTGTTTTGGTTCAGATTAATCTGCGAGGCAAACTCCTTGGGCTTGTATCCAACCACAGCCAAAATCACATGGTTAAAGTGATCACGAGGATGAACCCTTGAAACGTAACCCAACTTCATCAAATCAGCACTGGCCAGGAGCGCTTGTGCAGTCCATTTAGCCAACTTGTTGGCATTGTTCTTCAGCTCAGTTGCCAATACAGCTCCCCTCTGAGTCTCCAACTTCTGCCTCCAATCGACACCTGAATATTTCGGATCAAACTCATTAAGCGCATTCAGCGTCAAAAACGACCTCTGGTTATTCACCTCCATAACACTCTGCACCTCACACCTCGCAACCAGATACATTCCCTCCTCAAGCTTCCACCTCCGGTAGCGATAAGCAACGGAAGCAACCTCCTCTCCTTCATTCGCAAAAGGGTTAGGCTCCTCGAACGTGACCTTATTTCCATCCCTAACCAAAACCTGCTGTGAAAAGTTCTGATTGATATAAGCAGCCTCGACACTCAACGAGTAAGCTGAATTGATATCATCCTTAGCTTCAGGCAAGGGCTCCTGAGAGGTTTCGTGGACCGAAAGCAAATCCAATTGCGACCCATCACGTTTATCAAAGAACAATTTGTTCCCAACTTTCTGAACCACAATATCCCAAGAGTAAACTGACCTAGGTGCACACATGAGAGTCGAGAGAATCGTATCGGTGGCAAAGACTGTGGCTTTATCCTCGTTTGCGAGGCGGCGGATGACGGGGTCATCGGTGGTGGTGACCTTGAAGAAGTTCCTGTTCTTGAACCGCTCGAGCCGCCTCTCGTTCTTGGGGGTGATTCGATCGACGGAGCGATCGTAGAACTCGAGTCCGCCGCAGAGGAGGAGGTCCTCGGGTTCCGGTACAGAAAACGAGAGCTTCGAGAATGTGGAGAAGGGGATCTGTTCCAGCATGTTCCACTCCGGCTGGATATCAACAGAAGATTTGAAAACCGCGGCTTCTCGGCGAGGGGCGTTGACGTTGGACCGGTTCATGTTGTACTGGCGGTCGCGGCGGGCCCGCTCCTTCTCAGCCTCGCGCTTCTTGGCCTCGACCTCCTCGTCACGGCGGTGGGGGAGCTGTCGCTGCTGCTGGAACCGCCACTTGGGGCCGAATCTGGGGCGCGGAGGGGGCTTTCCATCGACGAGACGGAACGAAGCGTCGTCATCGGCGGAGGCGGGGAAGGACTCGTCGTTGGAGAAGTCGAAGACGGCGTCCGATGGGTTCTTAGAGCGGCCAGGATTGTTGAAGGTGCGGGTCCAGTCGGCGATCCGGCCAAGCTTCTCAGAGCGGGAGAAGGGGGCGAAGGGGACGTTTTGGGGCAAATTGGAAGTGGTGGTTGGGGTGGTGGCGCTCTCCGGTGGGCCCCACCCGTCGGGGTTGAAAGGTACGCCGCCGACTTCGAAACCTTCGACCATCGTTGATTGCTGGATTTATGAGATTCAGAGGGCGAAAGAAGCTTTTGGCTGTGATTACAGTGGATTGGGTCTGTGCTTAAAACCCTAGTTTTCGTACGGTTTTTTATAGCATGAGTAATTTACCGTTATACCACTGGGCCGTTGTTTGTATTTATGGGGCTTCGTTTCTAGCCCAATTATATTGTTTTGGGGTTTTAAGATTGTTTTGGAAAATAAGTAATTCGTCAAGCATGTAATATAAGTTCTAAGTGTAAATTGTAGCAATGGTCCAACAACTAAAAATTTATTATTATTGGTACGTCATCAAAATGTGTAGCTATGGTCATTTTTGTCAACTTCGTTAGAATTTTGTCAAAATGAGTTATGTTTGAAGGACTATTGCTACAACTGGGGTTTCTCAACTCATTAAAATGTGTAGTTATGATTATTTTGGTCAACTTCGTCAGAGTTTTGTCAAAATGACTTATGTTGAAAGAACCATTGCTACATTTGGGTTAAAGTTGAGGAACCATTTCTCTAGTTGGATTAAAGTTGAAGGACCAATAGTAATGAATTTTTAGTTGAGGGACTATTGCTCCAATTGAGTTAAAGTTAAGGGACCACAGCTACAATTTACTCAAGTTCTAATAGAATTTTTTTTTATTAATACTGAAATTGAAACATCAAAAAAAATCATAATCAAACAGGTGTGAACCAGATGAGTTTGGCTAAAACAATGTATTCGTCTATTTGCACTTCAATTCGAGTCCTTTAACTTGTACATTTTTATGACATATTTGATGGGCGAGTGCTAATTATATTTACTTCGTAGTTTCTTTTCAATTCTGAAATCACTCTTCAAATCTTATCTGCTTTAATGGTTTCCTATAGTCATATGCATCACTTATGACTCTTGATGGATTAATTAGCTTTCTCTCACTTCAGTTGCAAAGACTTTCTCCTTAGGCGCATATGCCTCAGCAACATAAAATGGGAGTTTTGCGCATTATAAGACTTGACCAAACATCTCACGACAAGAGCTGACGACAGCCATACAGCATTGGCATGGGCGGTATTGATTCATTCGATTCTTCTAAATTCATCTGTGGATTTCAGTAGCTGGTTACCCAAAAAAAAAAAATCCAATCTTTTCTACTTGTGCTATCATACGCTGCATTCGCAATACTGTCAAATTATCAATTTGTCGAGTAGGCAGTATGTCTTAAGCCATCGTTTGGTCTAATGGCTTCATGTTTCTACTTTATTAGAGGAGATTATAAGTTTAAATATCATGGGCGACTATTATTTTAGTCGGCAATATGTGTAACTCTAACTAAAAACATACGGGACGAATTGTTTTAAGTTATATCCCACATGTATCTACTGTCTAAATCAATCCGATTCCGGCATTTTTTTAATGAAGCTTTGGAGTATTTATTCTTTGCAAACTCTATAATCTGCTTAACAAAACATTTGATTCGTTTTGTGAAATCAAATTCCATTTTATTCCTTAAACAATACTAATTATATATTAAGCTATTTTAGCACCCTATTAATCATCCTCGAGAATCATTAATTTCCATATACAAATAGACTGGTGAATGCTGTGAGCTTCAAAGAAAGGTTAAGTCGATAAAGAAAACATGTACGAAAAATATATTCAGGTTACAAGAAATATTCATTAAATTTTAAATTTAATTTGTGCACGTACGAGGAAGGCATAATATTTCTGCATTGCTTCTTTCCTTCCTTTTTCTATTTTACTCTGCATGCCAATGACCTAGTTCTTGAAACTTACTGTACACTTCTCCTTGCTCTTGCTTGTCATGTCACTATGGTATTGACATCACTTGGTTTGGAAGTAGGGAATCGTCTATCTTTTCGCATGAAATCGTCTTTCATTTTTGTCAAAACAGTAGTACATATGATAACAACGTACAAATTTTATGCGTGTGTGCACGCACGCGCTAGGCAGCTAGCTCATTCACGCTAAGATCGACTTAAACATGTATTTCGATATTATTAGCAAGCTGCAGTAAGCTTCAGAATGCTTAGAACTTAGAAAATATTAGCTTCAGATCATCACAAGGGCATTTGAGCTTGATTGACAAAGTTTCCGGCTGAAGACAGCCTGAAAAGATGACCAAATTAAGAAATCACAACAAGAAAAATGGGCATTGGTCACGGTGCCCAAATGGTGACAATAGCTGAAAAATGAGTGCTCATATGCTTCCAAGTGCATCAGCTTGATCATTCACAAACTTCTTATTAAGTTTCCCCGAAATCCTTGCAGCTGCACAGCCTGGTGCCAACTCTTCAATCTACATTACATTCAGAAGAACATAAATATCTCTAACAAAATGGTGATGAATTGTGTAGTAATTAATTGTTTCCTTACCTTGGAATGTATTGTATGAAAAACTGTATCTTCAACAACTGAGAAACCGGCATTTACAACGTCAGCTCCCTCTTCATGAAGCACGCGAATCGACTCATTGAACATGAACTGGTATTCCAACCCAGTTATCATCTGAACCTCTAGAGCTGAACCCGTTTCATGAATCTCAACCAATGGTGATCCCCCGGTTATTGGTCCAGCACAGCGGCCAAAGCCTGCGTTGCAATGAGTGCTCTTCTCGATTCCCCCCATTAGCCTGTCTTTCTTCTCCCTCATCTTCTCCAAGTTTGTCTGTAGTTGTTTAATGTAGTTTACAGCATCATCTAGTTGATCCGGCAGCGATGCCGCTTCCTGTAACAATAATCCCATGAACAAAATACACATTTCTTTTAGCAGGCTTGTATTGGCAGACAAATATATATGGTGTCAAACTGTGAGTCTGGATTATAATCTTAACAATTACATAAACAGACTCACAGTCTGACAAGAAAACATGATCTATAATGCAAAAACGAAACCCACAAAGAAGATTGAAAGAGAGAGACCCCTGAGCGTTGGTGGGGAACAAGAGAATTGAGCTTGGAGAATAGGGCTTTCATTTGATTTCTTCTGTTTTTTTCTATGGTTTTCCTATCAGTTGTAGATGAACTAGGGCACTTCTCCATCAATATATTCAAGCTAGAAAGATATCAAACAATATCCACCAGCAAATTGAAATAATTGATGATTATATTATACAAATACTAACAAATATTCGTCTTCAACTTCTTGTGGTATAATGAGCGCTTTTATTAAGACTCTCATCAGGAGAGAAAGAAAAGCTGAAGAGCAGTACTCTATCATTAGATGCCACTGAAGAAAGTTTACAGATTTCAGAAGGCGGTGGGACCCTTTGCTCTCTATTGTCAGGAAAAAAATTAAATCTGTCTTATAACCGATTGTATATAATTTTAAGTTTATTTTTCTTATTCTATGATAGACATATAGCCATGTATATAACATTTCACATTTAATATCTATCATCTAACAAGGTCCTATGAACACACCACTGTTTTTGACTGTCCATTTGACAAATGAAGACACATGTACAATCGTGCAATTTCAAAGTAGTGGAGGTACTTTGAATAAAAGCATGATCAAAACGAAATTTAACAGATTAGTGCCAATTTCATCATTTGGCAGGTATATTGTGTGAAACCTAGACCATTTATTTTACATTCAAATTGTGTCGATTTAGTAGTGTGAAACTGATGAGTCTGACATGTCACATTACACCTTTTAACCTAAAGAAGACTCCGGAGATTTGGAAATTCCAACGACTAAATTTCTGCCATACAAATGCAAGGGACCATTCGTAAACACTCATTGCCATACAAATGCAAGGGACCATTCATCATTCATTTTCTATTCAAGACCTATCTAGTAATTTTAACATTCATTTTTAACTTCCACCTCTCGCAAGAAAAACATTCAATTTGGAAATTGGAGAATATATTATCAAACAAGAAATATACATGTTTAGAGTAAATCTCACATTGAAAAAGGGAGTGAATCCACCTCAACTTTCTTCACTAATCTTAAGAAACAACAAACAGCGAAAGCAAATTAAACAAGAAGTCGAGATGAACATATGATGAGTCAGAAACTTGTGTTTAAGCTTAAAACATTACAATTTTGTTCCTTTTCTTTTTCCCAGGTTTGAGTTTGCATTCTCTAGAAAATTCATTGATAATCCACTCCCGATTAGGGATGGGCAAATACTCATTGGTTATGGGTAACCGCGGTTATCCGTCCATTTAAATTTGATGGTTACGGTTATAGGTAACCGTTTAGATAAATAAACAGTTATGGGTATAACCGTTTACCTCTGAAATTTAAATGGATGGTTATGGGTATTACCCGCCGTTATAAATGGGTACACATTTAACCATTTATTTTAATATATGTAAAGCTCAAAAAAAAAAAAAAAGTTTCTAACTGGGTTTAGTATCCCAAGATATATTTGGTTATAAAAGGCCATAATATATATGTATGTATGTATGTATGTATGTATGTATGTCTATGCCTCACTTGAGAAAAAAAAATATAGTTGATAGAACGGGCTAATATTTAATATATGTGATTGAATGTGCTAAAACATTAGAGTGTTCGACAGTTTTGTTTTGGAGTCTTTTGGAGCTTTGACCAATTCAAGATAATGATTACCTTGAGCATTTAGAAACATGTTATTATCAATTGATGTGTACCTCTATATGTATATGTGTGTGTGTGTGTGTGTGTGTATATAAACTTAATTGGCCTTGAGTTTTCAATAAATATTTGACACCAAAATTAGAAATCGATTAAATGGTTTGGATCGATGAACATATGTTTCTAAATAAAAATCCAACTATTTATCAAATTAGCTTATTAGCAGATTGATGTGTACTTACATACACACATACGTACATATATATATACAAGAATATTAATTAACCTACAACCATGCATGATTCTTGTAATAGATTGAACGTCAAATAATTGGGAGACATTGCATATATTCATAAATAATATTACCATTAATATAAAAATACATGTTAAATGTACTTATAACGGTATTTAATAGTTAGAAAAAAGAAAATTATGACAAATTTCTTTTTAATTTTCAAGTTGTTAAAAATATAGGTAGACGGGTAGAAAAAAAGAAGTAAATGGATACTCGATTATGGGTAAATGGGTATGCGGTTATGGGTATGGTTAACCGTTTATAAATAGTTAAGGGTAAATGGGTATGGTTAACCGTTTATAAACGGTTATGGGTATGAGTATACTCGTTTATGTAAATACCCAACGGATAAACGGTTATGGGTAAATAACCGCGATTACCCGTCCGCCATAACCATTGCCCATCCCTACTCCCAATCAAACCTTATCTGAACTGACGACCAATTCTAGAGGATAATGTGAATCGATTGGTTGGTAGGCTAAATATTCCAGTAAACTCTACACATGCTCGAAGAGGGTGTTAAAGTCCCACATCGGTGGTGGGAAAGAAAACTAAGGGGTTTAAATATGATTACCTCACTCTAACTAATACCAAGGTATTTTGTGGTAAAACTCCACACCTGACGAATTGGGCAGAAGGTGAAGATGGAGACAGTATCGATGTCGTTAGAGTAGAACGAACCCGACGATCCAAAAATCAAACAGAGGGTCAATCAGGCAAAGGAATACTATTTCCCTTTTCAATTAAGCATATATGATAATGATAAGCAAACCAATAATTAAAGATGATATACTGCTGCAGCTTTAATCTGCATTCACATATTAAAACCTAGTGTGTGTTTTTTTGTTCGTCTTTTCCGACAGAAAACTTCAAGAGCACTATATGTTTATCAGAAACAGTACCGCAGAGAAATATTATTCAAAGTAGCTTTAGGTGTTACTACCACAGCCACATATGTTTCTGGAGATTTATGAAACTAATGTGTTACTTTATATTTTGAGGGTCGTCTTGCTCTCCAATATTCTCATACAACCTGGCCATTGTTGCTTTCTTCATGCACAAAAGGTGGAGACACATAGTCTCTCTGGATCATCTTGTTGTTTGATTCGATCCTTTTAGTGCTCAAATCTTTCTCGCTAGCTACGTTGTTTCATTTCTTCCCACAAATTCGTAACTAGCTAGCACGTTTCTAGGTAAATTATCGTAGGGATGATTTTTTTGGAGTATCTAGGCTGCAAAGTTGGTTTTCTTGTAGTGAGCATTACAAACCGATCAAAATGATAGATATTTAACCTAAGATTTCTTTGCAAATAATTTGAGTATATGTACGTAATACAACTATAACACACTGTGTGATGCGAACAAGTTTCTCCTTTACAGTTTCAGTGGTTAGATTTATGGTACTAAAACTATATATCATGACTTTTAGTATGTATTTTATTCCTGAACCCAAACCCTCGTTTCAGAACCAGAAGTCCTACCTTTATAATCGATACCTTGGTAACTAGATTGTTCCACTATAGCAAAACCTGTCAATTTCATTAAAATTAAGCATCGTTTAGAATATGAGAATAAGAATCAAAATTAAACACGAAGATCTTGCTTAATTAAGTTAGAACTTGGCCCAGGCTGGCACAAGATTAAACAAGCAGCTAAAAAGCGTTGAATAGTAATTGACCAAACCCTAATTTCAAAAATAAATATTCACCTCGAAGAAAATAGAACTCCAATAATTAGTTGGCATCATGATTCATATTTGCCATAGTGGTTTTTCTGGGCAATGCTGCGATTTGCTTGGTACGCCTGGAGTCGTGCAAAAGGACCAAAAAGGGTCCCCATCCTTGTGCCATCCACTAAAGTTGATTGAATCGGTCTGCGGCGTCCAACTAAGAGGCTCTTTATATTTCTGTGTTCAGAACCAACAAATTTAGAGATATAAACCACTTATTTTAAATCTTCTAGTTTTTATGAGCCCATTCTTATCGGCTTACCTCTCATAAACCAAGAGTTCGAATATCTTTCTCTTTAACAATTCAGATATTTAAATTCTTGAATTTCGAGCGAGATACGGAAAGGATCTTGGTTCTGCAGCATCTTCCACTAAAATATAATGACCAAGACTCGTACATAAGCACTTCCACAAAAATTCGAAATATAATTAATAGTTTGATATCAAATTTGTGTATTACAATTAAGTATTAGTTTTTTGGTTGGTAGACACTTTCTAACTTTCCATGAAGTAAACCACAAGACTCAAATCATATGGTAAAATTCCCTGCCGCATTTCTCCAATCAAGACAATTCATTGGATCAAATATTGACCCTAACTTGGAGGAGCCAATTATCTGGTGTTAATGGTATAGATTCCTCTTTTTTCTTTGGGTCCTTTCTTTTTGTACATATTATGGGTTGGAGAAAACTAACGTGTTACTGACGATCTATTATTCTGTGTATGCAACACATATTATGTAACTCAAGTTATGAGGTAAATGTTGTCGTTAGTGTCTGATTGAAGTATTCGTGTTCTAAATTCCTTTTCATTCCATAAAGTTTTCTTACTATTCTTATCTATCTTTGTACTTTTGCTTTCTCGTTAATCAAGCGGATATAGGATTTGAAATTAGAACCTCTTTTAGCAAAGTGAAATGATATAATAGTAAACCAATTTGTAGTTTGATTGTCTATTTATTGACCGTGAATTCTTGATAAAATTGTAGCATGTGATGAGTCAATTTTATACTATATATTTTATCCTAATCTTAGTATTAATTTATTGGTTATTTTGTGTGAATTTGATACTTTGAATTAAATTTCTAATGTAGGACATTTGACTTGAGCATAAATTAATCAAACGGACGAATTTTGGAGTGATTCCAATTAGATGATGTTCGTCAGTCTTTCAAGATGATTGTGCCAAAGTATCAGATTTCTCTACTAAGCCATTTGACTGTGACAATGAAATAAAGGCCCACGCGCAACTTTTCCAGATAGATATTTTTGGATATTTTGGGTATTTTGGATGTCAGGATGACATATTTTGAGGAAGATTCCTTCTGATGATTTGTTGGGGACGACTTAAGCTTTCAAAAGAGACCTTTTGGGACTAAATCGGAGTTGATTTGGTCAGTCAAAAGTCTGATTTTTCTGAGAAGTCTGAATTTTAGTTAAAATAGGAAACCTTTTATTTGCTAGTTTATTATTTTATTATGTTTCCTAGTTTTATTTTAAGACCTTTTATTAAGGAGATTGATCAATTTGGAGAACTTGTCTAGTGTTTGACAATTTGTATTTTTCTTTCAACATGTTTTCTATCATTTTTCTATTTTAATAAAATTCCTTTTGTTTGTTGGTCGTTCGTAACTAATTTCCGTTTTCTAGGGCAAAGTCACGAGCCTTAGCATGAATATGTAGTTTTTATTCAATTGGTTATGATTTTATGCATGCATACATTGAATTATTAATCACTGTGTTTAAACTGCCTCTATGTCTTAATGCTCAGCTACCATTAGAATGTTTAGATAAGTATTCGGATGCAATTCGGTAGGATTGAGTATTGCTTCTTGTGGTTAATAATTGTAATATCACCTAAGGAGAATATCACGTTCTTAGGGGTTGCATGATTTTTCAAATGATTTTCACAAAACTTAATAAATCTTGCATCTTCATATTTGATCTAAATATCACAGACGGGTTGCATGTTAAATATGTGTTCTTGCTTGAATATCACGAGGAGAATATGCATTAGCAAAATCTAACATTCAAAGTTGCACATGTAATTCATAAATAATTGGTAAAATTACATAGGATTGTTAAGGTGACGGCAGAACTCTAGGGCTTAACTTTATTTTCAAAACCGTTTTCTTTTGTTTTCTTTGCTCTTGCCGATTTCTTTTATCTTTTTAATTAAATTCGTTTTTAATATTTTAGGTCATAAAATTAATTCTTTCCAAACTTTGTTCTCAAATAGTTAATTAAAAATTAGTTTAAATACAAATTATTCACTCAATCCTTATGGAGAACAATCTTACTTGAATTGCTATACTACAATAGCCTTGTACTCTTGTAAATTTTTTAAGTATTTTTTTCCTATTTTTACAGGTAGTAAAAAATCCTATCAGCCTACCTTCTAAATTCTAAAAGGAAAAAAAAACCAGGCATTCTCTGCCCTAATGGGAAACATCCATCCACCATTTGCTAAAGGGAATGTGCTTGCTTTATCATTGGTTATTCTGGTCAAAAGGGAAATAATTAGGCATTTAAATTACGTCACTTAATTTGTGGACCACAACTGTCACTTAATTATATTGTACCTCCAAACACGCACGACACAGCAGCAGGCCTTGTCAAATGCGACAATTAAAAAAATTGATTCAAGTTTAGGATAAGAACATTATTTGAAACGTTTTACTGTTTTAATAATATATTAGATAAATTACATTTTAATACCTTAAATTTGGATCGCATAACAATCTCATACCTTATTTTTTAAATATTACAATGTCATACATTAATTTACGAATTCATTACACTGTTAGACCTTTGTCAACTTTTTTGTCATTTTTTTGCTATTAAATGTTGACAGTGGTGTACGCCAGCCCCACTCTTCACCCAATCCAATATCGTTATTGTGATGTTTTGGACTAATTATATGAAGTATGATATTGTTATATGATGCAAAGTTAAGATAGTAAAATTTAATTTACTATAACGTATTATTGTGTAAATTTTACTCCAAATGATAATATATAATTAGCTAAAGACATCACAACAACTATAAATATGTTTCATGTGAGTTACTGTACAAGTCCAGTGCATGTGAAAAAGTACAAATCATTGCAAGAGATTGGGATATTTTTGCTGGTTGTGCTGATGTTGGTTGTTTCAATTGGTTTTTATGCTTTTGTAGAACAGAAAACGTCGAAGGCATGAGAAATTACAAACATCACGGATTTAGGTTGAAAGTTATAGGTGGCAAAATAAATAAGAAAGGCCATTACATGCAATGCATCTAAATAAATTCTGCCATCGAATTTGCTGGTTGTGCTGATGTTGCTTGTTGCAATTGGTTTTTATGCTTTTGCAGAAAAGAAAACGTCGAAGGCATGAGAAATTACAAACATCACGGATTTAGGTTGAAATTTATAGGTGGCAAAATAAAGAAGAAAGGCCATTACATGCAATGCATCTAAATAAAATCTGCCATCGAATTTGGTAGCGAAATGTCATATGTGGGGACATAAAGGTTCGATTTAGGAGTGGATTTTAAATAATAAGCGTTTTTGTTGTAAGCACTTTCGTTAGAAGCATAATAATATAGAAGTGTTTTAAAGAGAAGCACATGAGAAACTATCTAACAAAATATCATGTAGCGTTATAAAGGGTCTAAGCAATACTCATGCTTATAGTGCTTTGCTTGGATCCACTTTTGTTAGAAGGGAAGTCATTTATGCACATTTCATTTGTCGCCTTGTAGACTCTTAATTTCTTATTTCATGTCTTCGAATTGAATAAATCAAAAAAAATTGAAAACTAAAAATAGACGTGAGTGTGCTTGAATGAATAGCAAAACAAGTTTACTATCAAAATTTCAAGAAGAACTGCCTCTGCAAAAACTTTATATTTATAAAGGCTTTTTTTTGGCCAAACATTGTTAGAAACACGTATGATTATCCGAAAGTGCTACGAACATGCACCAACTGTTTTGCAACACAAGGACAACGTGTTTTTTTCCCTTAATTGACAGGACAATTCAAGTTGAGTTCTTGACAATAAAACACACAAGAACATTGTGAGAACTAATGTGAATATGTCCTTCACCTACCTAATTAAAGACCACAGGATTTTTTTGCACCTAAATTTCCATACAAGTGATGAGACATGGTAGCAAAGATGGTAGGCCACGCATCCATGGCTGCTTCATAAACAGACATGTGTGTTTTACATCATGAGTTCGCAAAGCTTGGCAGCACGGAAGGAGACAAATAGACAAAGGGGTGGATGACGAACGGCGTTTGGCTGCTGAAAAATCAGCAGCAGCTCCTACTGCTAGTGAATTACAGGTGGACACAGTGTTCAAGTAATTGATTTTTTAATCGCAACTTAGACACGTGTCCACCCGTGATTCGCTAGCCAAGCTTTCTCCGTGGATGACTAGGTGGTTAGAACAACAAACCAAAGGAGTTGAGGGTTGTAAGGTCATCTCCAACCGAAGAGAGGATAGATGGCTCATGTCCAAGTAATTGATTTTTTATCGCAACTTAGACATGTGTCCACCCATGATTCTTTAGCCAAGCTTTCTCCGTGGATGACTGGGTGGTTAGAACAACAAACCAAAGGAGCTAGGGGCTATAACGTCATCTCCAACCGAATGAGGGACAGATGACTCGTTTTAGCCTATAGCCCTCTAAGAAATTAATATTTTAATAAACAGTACCAGACCATATTTCATATTATCTCCAACTGAGGGGCCAAAGGGCTATAGGCCAAACATAGCCCTATGACAAAAAATCATCTCTAACCGAGGGGACCAAAGGGTCATGATACGAAATGTGAAGAATTGAAATAAAATGAGGTGAGATAGTATGAAATGGTAAAAAGTGTGAGAAATGGTGTAGAAAAAAATTGTCCAACAAAAAAAAAAAAAAAAAAAAAAGTAGGCTGGCTCATCGGGCTAGCTAGCTGGCCGGAGATGATTAGCCCACTGGCCTGATTGGTTGGTTTTGGCCAGGTGGGGTCCACAAGCCATTTGGCCTAGTCCTTTGTTGGAGACGGTTTTCGTGTCATTTCAGGCTATTTTGGACCCTATGGCCCTCTGGCTGGATCGGTTGGAGATGGTCTGAGGTAATTACCTAATTAGAGGAGTCACTCAAAATTATTTAAATGCTTGAGATGATGAGGGAAAGAGTAAAAGGATCATCGCCATATCATTTTCATAGGGATCCTAGGGATCCCGTGATCGCGATTCTTCATCATACATCGTGCAATCAGTTTTCGTTAGGTACTATTTACAAATAATTTTAAAATGATTTTTGATCGTACAATGTACGATGGAAGGTCCTGATCACGGGATCCCTAGGATCACCAGAAAAAGGATCCGACGAGATGTACGATGGAAGGTCCTGATCACGGGATCCCTAGGATCCCCAGAAAAAGGATCCGACGAGGATCCTTTTCCAAGGAAAGAAATTGTAAGACTGCACCAATCATTTTGGTTGTGATAATGACATGTGAAAAGGAACCCCCAATTCATGATTTCATGAATAGATGTGAAGGTAAGATGAGAGAAAATCAATTAAGATGGTTTTGACACGTGAACCGAAGATTTACAGATGCTCTAGTTAGATGATGTGACTATGAGGACGAGCTTAGGGCAAAAAGGGTAGAGAAAAACCTATAAAGACTATAAGAAAAGATATGGAGCACTTAGAACTAACGAAAGATTTGGCACAAAACCGAGTATAGTGACGCTCTAGGATTCATTGTTTATGAACAAATGTGAATATCTCAATTCCAAATCCTAATTTGCATGAAAAACTTTAGTAAGATAGCTTAATTAAGGTTTGGTGGTGATTGTTTATGAACAAATGTGAATATCTTAATTCCAAATCCTAATTTGCATGAAAAACTTTAGTAAGATAGCCCAATCAAGGACAAGTTAATCACGTTATTGGTAAAGGTATTATCACAAAAGTATAATACCCTCAATATTTGTTTCTTCCAACTGAAAGGGCTTGTATTGAATCTATATCTTCAATTGACTTCAGCATCTAAGGATGGCGCTAGTATTCACTAAGGAGGTCTGATGGCTATCTAATTGTCTCTAGTTTATGGACCTATCATGCGGATTGGTCATTACACTTGCAATGGTATCAAGATAAGGTGATTCGTATGCCACCATATTTCGTTTAAAAGTTTAGCAGCTAAAAACATTCAGTGTGAGAGTTAACTTAATCAGTGGAGTTTCTCATTCTAGAAAAAGGAGTTAAAACCGTCACCATATGGCATTTTCCACCCCTCATTCTATAATTTATAAATACACAGTGAGTGAGAGATTAAAATATGCAAAATTGATAAGCATTTGTGGTGTGCGTGTAAAATATAGAAAAGATATATCTGCTTCACTCCGATGCATGCCTATCAATCAGTTGGTTCACTTCCACTTGTTCCACATGAATGTGACATCAAATAAGATGACGATTAAAGAAGACAAACCCTTTTCTTTAATTACAATTTTGACCTGGTGACACTACAAAAGCCAGGAGGTCTCACAAGAAAGATGATGGTTCAAGAGAATTTGGGTTTAGGCGTTGGTGTACTATGAGGATGCGCAGGACCAAGCTTCTGAATCCGGTGAAGGAGCTTCCCCTTCTTGTGATCTTGGCAGATTGGACTTGTTACATGAGTCAAGGTTCCGTCGAGGGCGAGGGAAGACTCGAATTGCTCCAATGCTTTTACAACCTGCGGAAACTCGGGCCTTTTGTCCGGATGCAAGGACCAACAATGCTCGATCAATGCTTGCATTGCAGACGGGCAGCCCTTCGGGATAATAGGTCTCAAATTCTGAAAAAGCAACCCACCATTTCTTAGAATATGGTTTATACGTAGCTTTAATTCAGAATTTTTCTGATAAGTAACTTTCATTTGGAGGTTGAGCTTCACGAGAAAGAGTAAATGGCGGAAATATTAGTTCAGCGCAAGAATTTTAGAAACATAACACCCGAATCATTTGCAATTCACTTCATTGCTATCTTCATTGGCTACTTCTCGAAGATTAGCCGTCATAGAGAAGACGAAAGCTAGAACCAAGGAATTAAAAAGTATGGATGAAGGAGCCTAATATGCACACTTCTAACTATAGGCCAGTAAAACAAAAGTTATGAAAGTACCTTGTTTACAACAGCAAAAGCAGCCTGAATGGGATTCATATCCTCGTAGGGGATTGCTCCAGCCACCATTTCCCACAAGACGAGTCCAAAACTGTACACGTCAACCTTACGCCCATAGGATTTACGCTTGATCATCTCTGGGGCCATCCAACGGTATGTCCCAGGGTCATCAGACAACGAATCACAGTACGCCTCCTCACAAGCTATACCAAAATCGGCAATTTTCAGGTGGAATTCTGCATCAACAAGAACATTTTCGGGCTTAAGGTCCCGATGAATGACTCCTTTTGAGTGTATGTATTCCATTCCCCGAGCAATGTCCAATGCAATGGCAACCAGTTTCTCCAGAGGAAGAGACTTTTCCTCAAGTTTGTGGAGATATGCCCTCAAGGAACCCTCTGATAGATATTCCGTGACTACACAATAAACGGGTGGCTTTCTGCACGCTGCGATGAACTGTTTCAAGGAAACAAATATCAGTAACAAAGGATACACATTATTCTGCAACCTCAAGTTCATGATTTGCAATTATGAAAGTTCCAAACATGGTTAAACTTAAACATATCTGATGTCTAAAAACTCCAAACTAGGAACGATAATTTGCTCACCATTATACGAAATTTCACAATCCAAATGCATACAAGGCGGAAAAAAGGAAGAATTGACATACCTTTATGACATTTGGATGGTGGAGACGAGATAGAAGAGTGACTTCTCTATTAAACTGTTTCTCCAATCGAGCTGCCAAGACTCCGCTATCGTCATCCTCTGGCACCCTGATAATTTTAACAGCAACAGCTTCGTCATTGTAAATACCATGGTAAAGCCTGCTATGCGCCCCATGAGCAAATTTAAGCCCGAGAAACAGCTTCGACAAATCAACACTAAATTCATCGGCAGCTTCCAAAGCATTAACTCTCCCGCCAGCATGATCAAAGTACTTGGCCCAAGGCGATTCCTTCCGGCTCTTCGTCTTGTCATTGACTTTCATAGAAGCCAAGTGCCTGAGGGGGCTCGTATTCATCGAATTCGATGACTTACTATGCGAATCCTTACTGAACAATCTTCCCATCCCCTTTCTCTTAGGATGTGGTGTTGAAAACCTCTTAGTATCAGACTTCGCTTCCTTGAACGCATCAGAGAGGTTGGTCTGAGGCAGAGGGGACAAAGATCTCTGCTTGTTGGTAAGGAGATTTCGCTTAACCGGTGTATGAACAAAATTCCTCTGTATCTTTGAATTACTGGGACTCGATTTCTGCTTCAAGGGAGCCGCTTCCGCTTCTGCCACCGCTGTCGCAGGCCTTGACTTTAATCCGGCAATCCGGTTGTCCTGCAGGGCTAACGGAAGGGAGGCCAACCTTGAAGAATCAAACCGATGCGAAAACTTCGTTCTCCGAATCCAAGAATAGGCCTCCTCCTCCATGTTCCCCAGTAATTCTCACAAATCCCAACCAGCGTTATACCCCAAAAACCTCCTTAATCACCTCCCCCTTCTCCTTCAGCCGAGACGAAGGCCTAAATCCAACTGGGAAATCCTCAAACAACCTGAATTCAGCTACAAACAAGCTCGAAAATCTCGAAAAACTCGAAAATCCGAAGTTCTTTAAGCCCATCAACAACAACCTCTAACCTTATAAAAACTAGTTGAAGAAAGAGAAACAAACTTTTTTGAACCCTTTTGGAAGAATGTGGCTGCATCAAATCCTGATAAGCTCATCTCCATCAGAACCAAAATTCCCTCAAACCAACCAAATCCCATCAATCAGCAGGCTCTTCCAATTAAATAATTTGGACACCCTCCTCAGCACCACCAGACCCCCTCAACCTCTCTGAATAAATATAAAAAATCAATAAATAAAAAAAATAAAAACTGGTTATTGTTTCAAAGTCAAACACCACCTTCCGTAAAAGCCTGGAAATTCATACACAAACAACCCAATAAACAAGTCAATAAAAAATAAAATTAGAGCCCCACGAAAACAAAAGTGTGTTCAATTAAATTGAAATGGAAGAAACACCCATGATTACAACCCCCTCAAGCACGGAAGAAAAAGCTAAAAAATAATCATGGTGTCAAAACAATCATAAATCCACTAAAATAATGCAGAATAAAAAAATATCAGATACAAAAAAAAAAAAAAAAAAAAAAAACCTAAAAAATAATCAATAAATCACACATAATATCACCGGAAAAAGTAAAAAATATCATATTTTAGACAAAAGGGTACCCAAGTAAAATGTCTGAGCTGTCGAGGAGCTTACCACAAGGGAAATGGCTTCTACATCACGGCGACAAATCACCACGAGCTTCAATGATATTTCACCATTTTCACCATCTGGTATGGGAGACGCTAATGATTTTTATACAGACGGGCAGATTTAAAATACAAAAAAAATAAATAAAAATTAAAAAAAATTCGAATAATTCTGGGGTTTTTTCGGCGAGGATTGCTATACGTATCATGTAAGTTGGGACGTAGATTCCATGGGACCCGGAAACTTTTGGTTAATGGGGCGGTGGGGGTGTGGTGGGACCACCGGGGGCAGGGGCAGCGGAAGTCAGAAAAGACGGCGAGAGAGGAAGAGGTCAGGTGAGGGAGGAGAGAGATAGCGATAGAGGAAGAAGCGAGAAGGAAGAGGAACTCGTTTGATTAAAATAATGAGAAATGCGGGATTATGTGTCGTTATCGGAGAGAATGAGGTACGGATATGGCTTTTTAAAAAGCCCGGTTCCCTACGGTTCCTGGTACGGGTCGCACGGACGCCATCTCTGTGTACGTGTGAGGTGAGACATGTTTGTGGAATTACTAATTGCCCCTTTGTTTTTGGTGTGTGTTTCCTGTTGGGTTATGGAGTTTTGAGGCTAATCTTGGGATTATGGAGTTTTGCATCTAGGGTTAGTTAAAAAGGGTAATTGGAATCAAACTTTTATCGGAATATGAGGATATATTGGCCGTGTGTTTGTTGGGAGAGTGTAGATGATAGAGTTCGGAATAGATAACGCATCTGTACTTTATCATAAAAAAATTATTATAAAAAATAAAAATTACATGTATTACCTTGTATGTATTGTTTATACATGATGCATGCTCAACTTAAGAAAAAGGTAATGTGAGTCGGAAACCTAACACGTGCATACGGATTAATACTCCATGGATGTGATATTCACACATCTTTTTTTACTTCTCACACACCTTTCTAATTTTCGGCCGTCGGACGAAAAATTGAAGAAGATAAAATTACAGAAATCAACAAGGAGTATTTAAGAAGTAAAAAATGGTATGTGGATAGCACATCCCATACTTCATTACTGGAGCCATAAGCCATCACACACGTACATGTACAATTATCGAATTCTACCTGAAAGAGAACTATTATAGTTACTTTGAATCTCAATATTGATATAAATTCGTTCTTTTATCTTTATTCAACAAGCGTTGTTAAGAGACTAAAATTGATAATATTTTTCAACAAAGTACAGCTAGTATGTCGCTCTAAATGATTAGTCTAAGCTAAAAATTTTACTTATCAACCATGCTACTAATTTCCAAATCAATTAAAAACCTAGGCGTGGAAATAGAAATTTACGACTAGGTTTGGTTGGAAAATAAACGATATTTGCAGATCGTTGAATAAAATGGAAAGGGAGACATGGTTTTTCTTGCTTTTACGAAAAGAAAAAAGAATTATTATTGACACTCCAAAAATCTCATTCTACACTCCAAACTTTATATATTTGGAAAGAAAAATACATTTGTGAGGAGGGTAGAATGAAATTTTTGAAATGCCAATAACATTTCGTAAAGAAAAAATGAAAATAAAGAAAAGGTCTTTGGCAAAAAAAGAAGAAAATATATATAAAATAAAAGAAAAAGGCCCAAAGGCCCACATGATCAAACCCAACTGGATTTAGCTGAATTTGATCAATTCTTAGGAGTGGGCCCAATTAGTTCCAACCAGGGAACATTCTAAGCTTGACCTGCACCGTATCGATTTGCGTGTCAAAAATTTATGGCACGTGTTTTAATTGGACTAATCAGAGATTAATGTAATATACTGGAACGTGCTTATACAATAAATAAAAAATTAGGCAAAAGGAAAGGAATATACACAAGGAAAACAAAAATTAGGAAAGAAGAGAGAACCCTACTCTCTTATATAAAGTCCACTATTTGAGCACGTAATTCCAAAGCATAATTATTTTCTATTCAGTTAAATCTGAACTAGTGATCTCTTGCGTGTGTTTTTTCTTCACCTTAGTTTGTCTTCGTGATTCGAACTTGTGGGCAATAGGGCAAGCACACGAGTCAACTTGTATTACCCAGGTTTGCACCTCCTTAATGTATTTTGAAATAGTCTTTTTGTGCTATTTTCATGTGAAATTCTTAGATCATCTCTAATGGTGAGTTTTAATGGCTATTCAGGATTTGAAATTTATGATTTACACTTAAAAAGTATATTTATTTCACGCACATTCCAATATAGATTTAGCCTTACGCTCTCAAGTGCTCGAATCATGGTTTTTCCCATTAAACTTTGTTTAAAAATATTTTTTTTGTTATCTTAAAGAGGGATTTTTATAAGGGAATTAATGAAAAGTTTCCGATACTGTTTACTTTAACGAAAAATCACATTTTTACATTAAAAAGTCAATCTTGTTACTATTCATTTTACCCTTTATTTTATCTTCATTGTTAAAACTCAAAATTCTTAATTTTTTTTCATTAATTTTTAGGGATAAATGTATTAACTTTGAACTATTCGAATTCCAATAAAGTATGAAAAACCACACACCAAGCACACTTCTATATGTTGCTAAACAAAAAACAATATTTTATTTGGGGGTGGAATATGAGTTTGTTGGATTATTTTTTTTATTGTTGGATTCAGTACCAAAAAAAATTAACCGAAAGAAAAAAGAAATTCAAACTATAACATTTGAGTCATCCAACGGTCACTCAATTAGCGTGTCCATGTGCATTATCGTGCCTCTAATTCTCACCGGATTTAGGTTAACCTAAATTCTGGTGTAACTTTGGTTTTTATTTGGGCTTTAGGCTTGGGCAGGGGAAGTTTTCGAATTTGGACCTCTCCATTTAGAGATGGTCATACCTTTTAATTATCTACTTGTCTGCACTTCAAATTTTATTCTTTTTCCGATATTATGATTTATTCTTTGGGATCGATCTTCAAGTTGTAAAGAATTTTTTCTACGTATCTGCATTTTGTCTGAAATTACGTGTTTTTTTTAACCGATATTGGTTAGAGAAATCAAGCTCATACTTCGATGCAGATTATAAATTAATACTGGCATATGTTTTCGTTTCCAGACAAATATTGAGTACATATAAATGGAGGCTTCACAAAATATGTTGTGGTGCGCGCATTGCAGAGGTCTTATTCCTTCGACACGAGATAACTACTTTACGTAAGAAACTAAACACCTTATTATTATGTTAATCTACATAATTCAATTGAATCAGTTCAAAGAATTACCGGATGTTAGATTGTTCTTGTATTAATCACTGCTTACTTAACCGTGTTTTCTCTTGATCAGATCTTGTAGTGTTTGTGGAAAAGTTCTCTATCAAAGTGTCATTAGTACTGAACCTGCAGCTCTTGTCAAAAGCCGCGGAACAAAGGTAATATTCCGCTTATTGGCGGGAGATTCTTGCATGCAACTGAGAATACATCCTTGTGTCCTTACTAAACTCATCACATGACGAATGGCTCATTGTTATGTAGCATTCTCGATTTGTTTCTAAACTATCTGTTAAATTTGTACTTTGCAGAACAGGAAGGCAGGTTCTTGTATAATTGTAAAATCCTTCTCAAGGGACCATTCGCAATCATCTAAAAGGACTTTAAATAAGGGTATATGCGGTTGTGTTGTTATACAATATATAATTTGCACATCTCCATTTACTAATTTCTACAATGTCGGTTAATTTGTCATAAACTATTCTCAAACTTTTTTCTTCTTCTCTATCTCCTGTGTTTTTATTTAAATTAGGGTTCATGTCAAAGTCATCTGCAGTAGCAGCCCACAAAATACTCAAGAAGGTTAGTATCTGATATATTTGCTGAAAGCTTCAAGTCTTATATATGTGACAATAGTTGGCATGTATAGTGGAGAAATTCTTAGGGGCTCGTTCAACCACACACACAAGCACAACATCCTACTCAAGACAATAACCTCTCGTGTAGGAGTAAACAAAAAAAACCAAGGAACCCAGAAAACCTACCAAACTAGACTGATTTGGTTCAATTTTCGTTTTAAAAACTGAATTTTTTGAAACAAACATGAAGTTTTCATTTTAGTGAGCATAACCAAACCAACCGGGTAAGAGTGATTCGGCCGACAATTAAGAGGGCAACAAGAACCAAACTGAACCATGCCCGCTCCTACTCTTTTGTATATTGTCCTCGTGCTCTCATTCTCATACAATGAAAGATATGGGCCTCATGGCCCTAATTTTCCTATTTGTGACAAAATTATAGTTTGCCTACTATCAAAATATAACGTGGCACACCATACTCGTGGTTGAAAGCAAAAGTCCAAGGGCCACGATATTCGTGATTGTGATGCCAATCGACAAAACCAGATTACCATACGGCATGACAATGACTTTGAAATGATGCAGGAGCAAGGAAATGTTGACGCGAGAAGTGATGGAGGAGCAGCAGATTACAAATCACACATTGGCAATCAAGAGAATGGTTATGACTGTAGCTATGATGGTGATGATGAGGATGATTACAACTGATGTTTTGGATGTTTATTGTGTCCTTATTTGCATCTGTGGGAGGTTCATCCATCTGTGTGACTGATGACCATGTCCATCTACAATCAAGATTTTGAGGAGGATATCCCACCCTGTCAAGTCGTGTACAAGATTTTACCGAGTTTTCGAGTCTGTTTTGTAATCCATTTGTTTTTATTTGTAAACGACAAACACAATAAGACGTTTAGGTACGTTTGGAGAATGTCTCATCACTGAAGTGGGTCTAACAAAATGCATCACTATTGCTGTATATTGCTTCATGCACAATTCTTATTTGTGCTCTTTGCGTTAAAGGATACGAGGCTTGCGTTATATGTCCATCGTCACGGTGCTGCCACTTGGAAGTGGGCGGTCCCTATAAACCAAAATAATTTTATGTGATAGGTCTCCGTCTACATTGTATGCCTAGTAGTAAGCATTCTGCCAAAAGCAACCAAAATATTCCTTGGTGAATAGAGCGAAAACTTGAACTACGGACTTACATACTTTTAAAAAAAGGTAAAGCCAACACATATAAAAACTGATGCTATTGTGGCCAATGAAATAAAAACATATGAACAAAAGCTTACATATATCTTTATTATATTAGAGCGAAATGCCAACGTAACAGAGTTCTCGTAAGATTGATCACACTCATGATACAGTTTTAGCAAACTTGAAACCGACCAGCAAGAAAATCTTTGAAAAGTGTTACAGTATCTCTTGGAACTTATTTTGTTATTTCATATCATTACTGATGAGATTATTTTTTTCGTTTACATATATACACATGCCCTAACTTCTAAAGTATTTTACAAAGTATTACTGGATCAAAGCAAGAACACGACCAAAAATTTGCTTAAAATCACACAACTTGAACTGCTGTCATGCAATGCCTGTTAGGCATCATCTCTAGCAAATCTACGGTTAACATCGACTCCTTAGGCTTCGGTCGCAGCCGGGAGGAGTCTCCCACGGCCAAAACAGGTGTCAATGTTGTTCTTTTGCAGGGGCTAAGCCACTTTGCTTGCATGTACTTCTGCTTCCTCCATGGCCCCATGTGCATTTTCTTTTCCTTCATGCATTTCTTTGCAGCAGAACATAAAATTTTTATCAGGCTTTGCAGTCTTTCAACTTTGCCAACAAACACTTCGGGGAGTTTTTGAACTAGATTGTTGTATTGGTCGCCTGCTCGAGCCATCTCGAATTCGGCTCTGAAGTTCAGCTCTATGATCACTCTCACCTCTCCTTTCTTTAGCCTTGAATTGTCCACCACATCCAAAAATGCGTGCTCTCCTGGAGAACAGAGAAAATAGTCAATGAGAAATGTTCTCTTATTAAACACAAAATTTATCTGATTAATTATATATATATATATATATATTTTTTTTTTAACAGATAATGCTTCAGAATTACAACAATGGTATATGTTTTTACCTGAAGGAATATCCGGTGAACTCCTCCACTTAGACTTGCAGATGGCACTGTTGTGACCAGCATTGCAAAGTCTACCGGAAACTTCTCTCAAGAGGCAGCTCTGGCAACCGCCCGCCATCGTTTTCCCGCAACCACACTCCATCCCCGACTGCTGTATCTCCTTCACCACCTCCCTTGTCAAACTCCTAATCCTCGTCTCTAGAGAACTAGTTCTGCGTAACGTAGCCTGCAGACCATATTTACATAACCATTAATATCGTGCTCGTATACTGTAAATTAAAATTCATCTACGGATAACATATATATATATATATATATATATATAGATCAATTACTTGTAAAAGTTGGTGCTGGTTATCCCAAAACCTCATGTCCTTCTTCTGATCTCCAGCTTCTTCCTCTTCATCTAACAAGTAGGCTTCATTTTCTTGGCAGCCTTCGGTGCTGCTGCCGTAATTTTCTGGGAACTCATCGCAGTCTTCGAGGAACCCGAAAACCATGCCGGAAAAACTCGCCGCCAATAATTCTCGAGCGGTGGCCGGAGTTTCTCTACCCATTCACATTAACTGCTAGTAAATATTTCTAGTTGCTAAACAAATGGTGTGACTCGATGGGCATGAACAATGTGAGAGATGGGATCGGATTTATATACCAAACCCAAAGTTTGGATCAACGTGGGGCCTGAGAGTCGGACTCACCACCAAGACAACGTGGCCGAACAAGCCGCGGCGCACACGATCCGAGAGGTCTGAAGATTGGGCTGGACAGCTAGGATCCACGTCAGTTTGGTCCAATTATTGTAGCGCGGTCATGTACTCGGATATCCAGCCTAAATTCTGTAATATTGTTCAATCTTAGCCGTTGATGCTGTAGCTCTATCCAATTAAGGGGCCCACTGTCGTCCAACCAACGCATTATTTCGTATATTGTTGTTAATATCGTAATACTGAAAAGATTAGGATTGGATTGACAAATGTTACGACTATGCGGCGTCTCAGACACCGCAAATCATCTGGTTTTCCGCATAAGGACAGGGTGTTTTTAGTGTGATAATATTAGAATAACTAAATTTTAAATTAAACTTACAAATCAAATGATATGTAATTAATAGAAAATAAGTATCTTAATCAATATTTCAGTAATAGTATAATTATCAACAATATATCATTCAATTTACAAAATTTAATTTACAAATTTAGTCTACTGAGCATTACCTTTTTTAATAAAGATGGAGAGGAGAACAACTTAAGGACATTTTTGTTATTTTGACGGCCCAATAATTTTGAAGCATGCCAGTGAAAGTGTCTATGTGCGTTCAATCTGTCCACATCTTTGCTATCACATGTTTTATTAGGATAAATAAAACAGAATATTTTACTGTTTGGCTATTTGATATTTTATAATTGATGTGACTGAATTCTTTTTTTAATTTTCGTGTTTAGCATGGCTTAATTTTCATGAAAATTACGGGTAACCTATATAGACCTAAATTCATGTGTCATGGTAGAGTGTGAAATTTGTCTTCTTGAAGTCAAAGATGGCGCATGCTAGTTACTTTGGTTAGTTGTTTTGATTCTTTTTCTATGAAGTCTATTAATATGAGATATTTTGTTAAACATTCTGTATGCGTTGCGAATTTGTATCTATACTTAGGAATATAAATTGCATAAATTGACTATAAAACTTAGAACACACCTAAATTAATATTTACACTTGTTTTTTAACATGTACCAACTTATACTATGCATAAATTAACTGCCCAGATGGACAACGGAAGACCCATTTAAACTGGGATGCTGGGTCAACTAAAGGCCCACTAGAATTGAGCTAAAATTTCAACAAAATCTACCTCAATCTGGTACTCGTTCTTCGGCCGTGGAAAATTGCCGAAACCAAACTGCAAGTTTCTTCGCTTCTCCAGTTTTGCATTACTATGTCTATGTATAATAATTTCTTCATTGATACGGAGCGCATCACTGTTAAGCGTACCCTTTGGAGTTTGGAGTCATGCCAACAAAATCCCTTGATGGCGTCATGCCAATTCTAGGCTTGAGACCTGCACCTCCATGAGTTGCAGGATTTGCTGTTTGATTTTCCTTTTGTCTAGGCGTGACCCCAGAATTGGCAAATTTCTGCTTCCTAATAATGGTGATCAAGTGTTCGATCGAATTGGAGAAGCAAGGTTGTGAGCCTGATCTGTCTACTTGCAATGCCTTAATTCCATTCATAGGATTTATATGGATATGAGGTACTTGTCCCACATTGGTCATCTCTCTTTCTCCCTTCCCTCCTAGCTACTATATAAAGAGGGCTTTCGGAAAGAACAAAATGAATACCAACGAAGACACGTCTCTTAGCCCTAGAGAGGAGAGATAATGCTCTCTACTCCTAGTTAACTTTTCTTTAAGTTTAGCCTCTAGGGTATCACCCTGATACTAAGAACTATGGTGGTTTGTTCCATGTGCATTGATACAAGGTGTACATGCTTGGATGACGTTATTCATTGTGGTTCGTGCAATGGTTCGTAGGAGTGTGACGGCAATCCAGAATTCATTTACTCCACAAGGTATGTCCTATATGGAATAGTACAAATTCCCAACTGTGGTATTAGAGCCATAGGGCTTGTTCCTCACCTTACAATTTGATGTAAATTGCGAGAATCACTATATCCACCATGGTTGCATAAACTCGAAAAAATCACGTTTTGATTCGTTGCATTTTTGAGGATTTCTTTTGAGAAATATGTTATCTTATGTGTGAAAATTATTCCCTCAAAACTTCATGCAAATATGTGCCACGGTTTGAGAGAAATCAAATACCCTAATTTTGTGATTTCTTGAAAATTTCAATTTTTTTAGCCGTTTTGCGGGCTGAATTTAGGGTACATGGAGCTGATTTTTTTCTGTAGTTTTGTGCTTGGCGTTTGTAGTCGGTCACATGAGCTACACGAGACTCATTAGAATTAATGTTTATTTCAGAGAACGTTATGATGCACATTTTTTTTTAGTGTCAACAACTAAGAATCAATTTCACTCACACAAAATGATTTGCCCTGGCACTGAGGTAGCAAGCAGGATGAGACATATATGTCTAAAATGCATTTGAGTGCGAGACCAGACGTGTATGATTTCACGTACAATACATACACTAGATAAACGTAAATATTGCCTTAGAAGTGTCTAAGATGAGACGTATCAAAGATTGAACATGAAGATTTTTTCATTTAAAATCCATGTTAAAGATTGTCAAGCTAGATGTGAGTAACTAGGTAGGCATCGAGAGGGGTGACTAGGCTAAATGCTCAAGTTAGGCATTTGTGTAGCGCTTAGACTAAGATTCGTATGGTGTATGTCCAATGGACAAGTGACACACTCATTAAATTGAGAATACATCATAGCATATATTTCATATAGTATGTGCTAGTTGCGGGCCGACAGTGGGAGTGACGAATTGATCTCTACTTCAAGTCACTGTGTGAGCCACAAATTTGAAGAAAATAAAATCACCTAGATATACAACCCAAAAAACTAGCCAAAAATAACTTAACTTTTGTGTGTACGAAATACCCAGATGTACAACCCAAAAAACTAACCAAAAAACCCTAAATTTTTTGTGTAAGAAATTCCTTTAAATCAAAGAAAAACTAATGAAAATCGTTTAAAAACTTTGAGTTTTAATAATAAAGACAGAATAAAAAGTAAAGTGAATAGTACCAAGATTGATTTTGTAGTGTAAAAATATAATTTTTTATTAAAATGAACAATACCGTGGATTTTTCCTTAAAACGTCCTTAAATCAAACCAAAGAATTGAACATGATTATCTGAATTAAAAAAAAAAAAAAAAAAAGTAAGACACAACCAATTTACTGTTATCTAAATAGACTTCATCTTCTCCTAATACGGTAATACCCCAAATAACGCACAATATTTACATCAATAAAATTCCATCAAAAGTTTAAAACACCTAGGGCCAAGAGAAAAAAAATGTGACCCGTGAATATATGCATCCAAGAAAAAGGATAATAGGAGTGGAGCTTCTTCACCTTCAAACCTATCTTAAACCGCATGCCCATAGAATAGTTGTTTTTAAAAGCAGTTTCACTCCTAAAAAAATATCAATATTTAATTTATTTAATTCATTCAATGAACACTGATATACCTCAATAAATAGTAATAAATCAAATACATCTTCATTTCTAAAAAAATATGCTGGCGCTCAGCACGTTTAAAATATTTTATAGTTTTAATTTAGAATAATAATTTTAACTAATCTTGTCACGTCACGTTACATCTTTTCTTTCTCTCTCTTCTTCATGGGCCCACAGTTATTTTTTTCATAAAAAATAAACCCTTTCTCCCTCCTACCATTAACTCCACCTCTGGAACCTTCTACAAACAAAAAAAGCGAAATCCTCTCCCTCTCTACCCCCCTCACCCTCTCCTCTCTCTCCCTCCCTCTGAGCTGCTGCTTCCGGTACTGCCTGTTGCAGCAAGACCAGCAGCGGACGAGATCGATCGAGTTGGCTTTCGTGTCCAATCCAACTATTCTGTTTGGTTGGTGGGAAAATCCCTACTCCCTGTTCATCCCCAAACCTTTAAATCCACGCTTTCAAGGTAATACATGCCGGCTCCTTGATTTAATTTTTTTTTTTTTTTTTTTTTACTGAATTTTCCATTTCCAATACCTAGAAATCTAATTACACAAAAAATAATAGGAAGTAAAATTTTGTATCTCCAGAAAATTTTGTTTTCTAATCATCTGACGCCACGCTGGCGTCCGCATGACGTCATACGGGCCGGTCCATGGCTCTGTCGATTTTAGGCTGGCCTGGAGACCAACTTGGGCTGGGTGCCAGCCTATCTGCTGGGCTAGAGTGGAATGGCTAGGTGCCGGGCCAATAATTTGGCTGGGTGCCGGCCTATTTGTTCTCCGGTGGAAGTGCTCTGAGTTGATACATGCAAGTGCTTTATGATAATAATCTAATAAAAAAACAACACAAAAAATTCTAATAACTAACAGACTCCAATCTGTATGTATAACAGGTATGCTCTTGAACTGTGTAGATAGCTCTGATAGAGGCTTTAGTATCAACGCGTCATTTACATTTTCCCCTCTTGATGCAGTGAATGTGCAGTTGATAAAGTTACGCTGACAAATGAAAGCAAAAGTGGAGAATTCCACTCAAAGATTTCTAAGAGATTGGAGCAAGTTGGATCTCAAATGTGTCAGCCATCATTGATAGGAGCAAAATATCTCTCATCTGGAACCAAAGGGATTGATACCATGCGTCTACGTTATGCAATTGAGCAAGGGTGAGCGATACAGTGATACTTTCCTGTAACAATTGAATAGTAGGAATTTAAGTTATAAACTGTTTTGGTTAATCTTCAACAGGGGTTACTAATGCCAATGACTGCACAAATTGGAAGCAAATTGCCTGAGACTCCTGCGTTAGTTGATAAAGAAACAAAAGCCAAACATGTCAAATCGGGAAGGTGATGTTAAAATCCAAGTAGTATCAGCTGATGACTTGAGGCAACATCTTCCAGTAACCTTATTGTTTTAAATAAACAGATTTGTAAAGTTTTTACTCTGACATCATATTATTTTGAATCGCTTAAGAAAAAAGATGACGTCATTTTAGTTCATAGAAAATACAATAAAGCTACTGACGATGCTAAACAGCAGTGTCCTGTCCTTTGTAATCATCAACAGAGAGGATTTCAATTCTGACAGTGTACCCAGGAAGGCCAAACTGGTTGGGGATTCACGGCTGTCTGAAAAAGAAGTAACAGAAAGGGAACCTGTCCTGGGAAGTGGAACGAGAAAAAGTCTTCATGATCTCAGGTAAGGCTTTTATAAAAGACCTTGATCTATCTTGTACTTTGCATATCTTATCATTAAGAATGTGGCTCTTTTGACTGATGTTCTTATCCAAAGATGTGACTGCTTATTTCTCATGCACGCGACAATTTATTTCGTACATTGTTGAGCAACATAATCAATGGTCGAGTGGACCTTCTAGAGAAACGTCTGATTGTCAATATATGTACTTAGGCATGTGGAGATTTCTAGCAGTCAAGCAAATCCTTCCAGCTTAATCGAGAAGACTATTAAACCTAGTGCACAGACATGAGACGTGTAAATCCTAAATCCATGCTTTCAAGCCTGGAGTCTGTGAGGAACTCAAAGATCATTACAATGGAAGGGAGTAAGCTTTGTCCTGATAAACCTACCAAGAAGAAAACCAAGCTTTCTACCTTGAACATTTCAAAGTATGGTGCGAGTGTAATTATTCCTCTGTTTCAGTTCTTTTCTGTGCGGAAATGTTTTGGTTGTGATTTTGAATGTTTTGATGTTTCTAAATGTAGGAATATTGGTGGCAGTAAAGTTTCATCGAATGCTTCCAGAAAGACCTGCGGAAATTTCAAAGAACCTTCAAAAGTTGTTGTTTCAGTGCAGGTTCTCAACTAACTCTATAGAATTAATGATTTATAACGACCGCAAAGTGTATCTCTTAAGTGAGTTAGGAGGGAGCCTCTAGTGGATAAACTTAGCAAAATATTTTTTTACGTTTTCGCAAGGTTTGCATTCATGAGAGTCATGTGGGGAGCAAGTCTAACAGCACTTTTGACGACCATACGACCTCTGGACTTGGTAGTCCTTGCGCGATCTATGTGATGGAACTTGATATTCCTTCAGTAACGGAAAACAATGGAATTGTTGAAGAGGCTGAAGCGTACGCTATGGACAAGGAGCTTGAAGATGTGAGTAAATTACCACTTCTTTCATGGTGACATTATGTGTGCATTATAATTAAAGAATTCAAACGCCTGAAAAATGAATTCATATAAATTATAAAGAGAAATTAGGACTGCAAGGCATCATTATCTTCTGCCCATAATTTGAGCAGATAGCGCCATTCGTATGATTATGCATCGGTAATTTAAGCGTAGGAGCTGAATGACGAGTTGTAGCTAAGAAACTGAACATCTGATGTCTATTTTGTTTATATAGTTCCATACTTTTTTATTTTTTATGGTCACGTTGTTATAACCAGGTTGACTCAATTATAAATGAGTAACAATATCTTCGCCTTGCAACGGGCCATTTAAAGGAGTCTCTTGATGAAATTGTTGAAGAACTTCAAAGACAGGAGGGCACTAAATGCCTCTGCTTCTCCTTCCCAGGCTTTGCCTTGTTGGCTGTTGATTCAATGGTCACCGGCCCTGAACAGTATCAAATATCTCAGTTGTGAACAACTCGTTGCAGACCAAAATATGTCGCTGTGGGGATCTATATGAATCCTTTCTCTTGATTGAAGATAAAGAGGAGCCATAATCGTGTTGTAAGAGCCTGCAAAGATTTCAACAAGCATCAAAAGTGCCGTAGAGGGTATTCATGCTATGTTTGCACCGGCCCTGGAGAAGCACATCTGGTATATTATAATGTTGAAAAGAATGGTGCAACATCCCATGGTTCTACAGAGTTGAGCTTGGGTTTGCATGTCATGGGTTCCGGAGCACCCGTTGCAATGTTGGAGCTAGCTTATAAATTTTTGGGTAGACGAGATGGAGTCTTGCGTAATGCCCGTCTACGTCATTATGGAATAAAAGGGTCAGCTTGCAGGTCGGTGAGGAGGAAGCCATAGAGGCGGTGTGTGCAGCCCTACACCTTGCAGGTCTTAAGAGCATGAAAACTGGACCACCGTACGAGGTGCATGTGTTCCGTAGAGGGGTACAAAATTACTAATGGGCTGTGCTATTAACAGACGTTTGTTGGAAGTAGTGGGATATAACAAAGAAGTTGGTATGTGGAAAGAGAAATATGGCAGTGCTTTATTCGAAGGCGTTACTCAAGAGAGAACCTTTGGAAAATGACCATAACAAAGTATCCTTTTGTAGATGTTCATAGGCACGGACACCCTCTCGCTCTTCTGGAAGGAGGATACGTCCTACATGTGGTTAAACTTAGGAGTGCTGGTAGCATCGAGAAAAAGATGCAACATGCGGCGATGTCTAGTGTAACTATACTTGCGGAGTTTGTGGTGGAAAATTCAGAACTTAGCCGATCTCCCTTCTTTTTGGATTAGTGATTTGATTCTTTTAGGCACTCCAACAAATTGTCTCCAGCCCTCCTGATATAAACATTCGACGTCACTTTTCTCTTGTCCATCGCATTTCAATTTGCGGAATTTGTGGTGGAAAATTCATATTACATTGAAATGCAAGTTTTTGGATTGAGTTTCACAAAGACGATGGACAAGAGGAAAGTGACGTCGAATGTTTATATCAAGAAGGCTGGAGACAATTTGTTGGAGTGCCTAAAAGAATCTAATCACTAATCCAAAAAAAAGGGAGATCGATTATGTTCTGAATTTTCCACCATAAACTCCGGAAGTACAGTTACACTTGATGTCGCCGCATGTTACATTGTTTTCTCGATGCTACCAGCACTCCCAAGTTTAACCACATGTATGACGTATCCTCCTTCCAGAAGCACAAGAGGGTGTCTGTGCCTACGAACATCTACAAAATGGTACTTTGTTGTGATCATTTTCCAAAGGTTTTCTCTGAGTAACGCCTTCGAATAAAACATTGCCATATTTCTTTTTCCATACCAACTTCTTTGTTATATCCCACTGCTTCCAACAAACGTCTGTTAATAGCAGAGTCTGTTCGTAATTTAGTCCTCCTCTACGGAACACATGCACCTCGTACGGTGGCTCAGTTTTCATGCTCTTAAGACCTGCAAGGTATAGGGCTCCACATGCCGCCTCTATGGCTTTCTCTTCACTGACCTGCAAGGTATATGTAGTTATATAATTTTATAGTGTTATTTCAATGGATAAATCTACAGACTTTATGTGGGATATATAGATTTTTGAAAATAGTTTTGAATTCCAGTCAGGTTCCTTTCTCCATATACCATCTATGCTTCAGCAAGAGAGCTACTACGAGCAGTTGAATGAGGCGCTTGGCGGTACAGATCATTCGTACATTGTGGATTATTCTTCTTGAGCAATTTTATATATTTGTTTCCTTTTGGTAAAGATTAATTGGATTACAATTGCCATTCAAAAAATTAGGTGTATAGAAGAAAGGTAGTATCATGCCCTGGAAAATTGTAACTTGATCTGATTGCACGTAAGTTAATTTGAAAATCTCATGATTTGGCGTTATATAAGATGATATTTTCTCTCTGACATGATTTAAAGGGTTATCCAAGTCTCTTTGTGGCAATGGCAAAACTAGGAATTGACGTGGAGAGGGGAGACGATTTTCAGGTCATTTCTTTCAATTTGTAAACCTTTTCTCAGTGAGATATCGCTTCCAGTGCTACCCATTCGAATGAAATCACATTTAAAGGAGGATGATGACTGCTTGGAATATTTGAAGGAGAATGACTACCGAAAGATTTAAGCATTGTATCTTATAGTATCGTTCATTACATAATTGTAAAATGGAAAGAAGAAAAATTCTTAAACTTTTAATAGTAGACTATACTAATATGCATAATAACTAATTCAACCAACAATTCAATTAATCAATACCAATAAGCATACAAATTATTCAATAAATAAAAATTCAATTCAACTAATTATATGAATAATTGTATACATTATGCAATAATTCAATTAATTAATCAATAATCAAGAATTCAAATTGTAATTTTTACCCCAAAAAATAATTTTATAATTTCATATCAATAACCAATAACCATATCAATGATTCTTCTATACCAATTAAATAAAATCTGTTTTAAATAATTAATTAGGGTTAGGAATTATAAATTTTACCTAAATAGTGACTTTGAAGGCTAGAAGCCGGCCGCTGGAGACTGGAGAGTGGTTTTTGTGGCTGGCGGCTGGCGCGGTCGCAAAAGGCTGAAGGGAACTGGGATCCGTTTGCTGCTGGGAATTGGGGGGCGGCGACCTTTACTCTCTGATTGGGGTTGAAAAGGTCGCAGATGATAGAAAGAGACTGAAGGGGAGCGCAAAAGGGGACACGCGGTCCCTCCCTTTATATATATTTTTTTTTTCCAAAATAAACGAAACAGCGCCGTTTCTCTTTTTTATTTATTTTTTAAATTTTTTAACCAAGATCAAAATGACGTTATTTTGGCTTGGAATTTAAAAAATATATATAACTCAACTTTGCTGTGTAGTAGTAGAACCAGTAGGGTTTCCGGCGAGTTGTTAGGGGAGGGGCTGAACTACGCTCCAGTCGTGTTTTTCAGACAAGGAGAGTGGTGGTCACCACTCCTCACCCTCACGTGGCTTCACCATCGTGGATGACTTTTCTGTCTTCGGGTGTCTTCCCTTGATGATTGTCTTCACAATTTGACTCATGCTAAAACGATGTCCAAGAAACAAACTTAGTGTTGAACTAGGACAAATTTCCTTTCATGGTGCAAGAGGGCGCTTTGTATTGGGGCATTGAATTTCTTTTCTAGCTTGGGCATTGAGGTTGATGAGCAAAAATTTGAGCTTATTGAAAAGCTTCCAAAACCTAAACTCGGATGATATGAAGAACTAGACCATGCATTCAACATTTCAAGCAGCTAAACTCGGATAATATGAAGATGTTAAAGTACCTTAATAGTAGCAGACTTGGACTTAAAGACATATCAATTATTTATACCAGAATTACTAACTAAGAAAGACTTGACAGTAAAAGATTTTATTTACAAGCGTGGTCAGTTTGTATCTGAAAACTATATAACTTTTTTACAAGGTGAATTTTTGTTCTCCATGCGAAATTTTATAGCCAAACAACATGTATAAAAACAATAAAGTGCAGCAATTTTGATTCGGATTTAGTTTTATTCTAATGAGTAATACCTTAAACCATGGTTAAAAACCCAAGCTTTCTTCCATTCTCTTAAAAGGGGGACCCCTACAGCATTAGCAAACTTATATGACTTCATCGACAGTCAAACTACACTTGGGGGAAACACATCAAATTAATGCAAAATGCGGCAATGCATTCATACGAAAGTACAAACAAAGTTTCGCGTGATTCACAACGAAAAGTAGTATAAATACACCGATTTTCTCTCTTAAATTCAAAAGAGGGCTGAACGAAAAGTAGTATAAAAACCTGCCCTTCCTTGAGGCAATGCAAATATGTATGGTCCTAGTAATGATGGTCTAGTTGTATCTTTAAATACAGAGACAAGACGAGAAAGTAAATCTCTCGGAGTCCTATACCCTTGCGGAGTGCACATGCTTTTTATAATTGGGATGCTATCGATCTTCTGAGTTGGACTTTCTCGTTTTACTTTTTCGATTAGTCGAGACCCAAGGTCAAAGATTGTGAACAGATCAATAGATTGTAAAAACACAACGAATCTTTGTTTAAACTCATTCATATTATGTGGTAAAAGTGTGCTATAATACATATGTACCCAAAAGAGTTACCCTTCCCATTTGGTGCATGATGGAGATTCACTTGCCTTCCACCATGCTAGTATTGGACCAAGAAATTGAAGTGGATACGGACTGCTCGATGCCTTCAAAAGTTGGGTGTGAATGTGATCCATACCCAAAAGTTTGTGGAAAATCCGACCACATCTCCTTGGATTGCAACTTTCGGAGCAAATACGCATCCATGTTCTCAGTTTCCGACTCGTCCGGGCTCGCCGAAAATTGAAGGGGCCCGACCATTTTGGAAATACACAGGGCGGGCCATACAAAATTGAATTAATTGGTACCGAACATATTTTCTGCGTCCTGAAGAATAAGGAGCATCATTATATTTTCCATACGAAAAATCCAATGGGTTCCTTGCAGCATTTGCAATTGCGATTGCGATCGCGATCACACCCCTAGCTTCTGAAAATTTTCTTTGAAAAACTGGTACCGGAATCGCAGAAAATGTTTTCAAATGTGAACTCTTAGACAGCAACTCGAAAACAAGAAAAATCTCAAAAAATGTTAACTCTTGAATTATTATTAGGTTTTGTTGTTAAAAGAACTTAGGGTGTGTACTTTGTAAGGCTTAAAGAGTCATTTCATATGACTGATAGTTGAGTTTTTTACAATTAACTTTTATATACGATGTAATCAACAAAATATTAGGTGTCAATAAAATAAAATACGGCACTTGCTGTACCCCTTTTGCTATTTGCTCTAAACTTTCTCAGTTTTCGTTGGTGGTAATTTAATTGTTTATGAAATTAGAGAATTTGATTAAAGGAAAACTAATGAAAAGAGTTTGAAAACTTTAAGTTTTAACGATAAAGATAAAATAAAAGGTAAAGTGAATAGTATCAGGTTTGAATTTTTATTGTAAAAATGTAATTTTTCATTAAAATGAACAGTACCGTAGGTTTTTCGTTAAAACTCTCTTTGATTAATTATGAAGAAAACTATTTGTTTGTGAAATTAGGCTGTGAGGAATAAGGACTTGGATGGCTTACACGTGCCTCAAAAGTTCGGGAGCATGAACATATTCTGGAAGTATTATCCCGACGAGGCGGTGGCTCCATACCCGACCATATTCCTCGGTGGGAGTTCGAGAGAATTTCTGCGGCGTTGACGCGGGTTTTGGGTGTGGAGGGTGGGTGAGATGCAGGGCCGGCATTGAGAGGGTGCAAATGATGTTAGGGCCCCCAATTTTTTAGTTTGTATGTGTACAATATTACAAACTTGAGTTTTTAGTGCAAATGGAATTATTGCTTCTTTACATCAGCTTAGAGGATGAGTTCGAAACTCATCTCTATCATTTTTTCAGTTTATATTTTTATTAAATGCATAAACTTCCACAAAATAATATAAAAATTATACACAATTTGTTTCGAATTTATGTGAAAAAAAAATTGATTGATGCGTAAAAACAAATATGAGCTCTGTAGTTGTCGCGTCATCATTTAACGATCAAATTGACAATTTAACTAATGAACGTATGAAATTGTAACCAAATACGAGTAAATATATGAGATTAAAATTTAAAAAAAATAATATACGAGGTTTCAGTAGCATCCAAATCTGAGAGGTAAAATGTAATTTATATGTAAGTGTACAACAAGTTGTGCTGTCAAATTAAGGGGTTCAATCTTGTCATTGTAAACTTCATTGACACTTGTCCATTGTTAATGTTTCAAAGTCCATAAAAACGTCCGAATTTAACTCTGCTCGCTCCTATGTGTTTGTAACAACGAGTATTACAAGGATACACTAACAGAATGGGTTATACGTCTCACGATACGAGAGTCAACAAAAGTCAATGATTTCGTCCTGAAGGGCATTTTCGTAAATTTACGCTTTAAAATTTTAAAAACAATAAAATTTAGGATGGATCGTTACATACTTGTTGGAGGAACCGAACGAAATTTTCCGCTCTAACAGAATCCTGGACGTCGGATGATATCTCTCATGAAGGAAATGAGACGAGAAGCTTAGATCGAGCCAAGTGTTTTATGCTTCAGTGCGCACCTCCACGGTTTGAGTTGCGTGCGGAGGGGATATCTTTCCAAACCTCCGTCTGTTAAAATTAATGGATACGAAAATACCATACTGACGTATCGATATCAAGTGCATCGAAAATTGAGTTGAAATGAACAAACACCTTCTATATTAACATACCAACATTGAAAAGAAGCTCGTCGTGTCTCAGTTTAGAGCGACTATAGAACACATATAAAATGAAATCAAGTATGTAGCAACTCCAAACTCTCAAATGTCCCAAAACACCAAGTGAGGTTTCAGTACTGGTTCGGTCCTCCGCTTTCCATCTTTCCCTTTGGCACCCTCCCTCACTATTAACTTTGGTCAGCCCTGCTGTTATTAGCCTCGGACACTCCCAATACAAGTGATCTCCTTTCTCATGACAAAGTAGGCATTCAAGGGTACCATTGGCTTCGGCTTCGGCTCTTGCCCTGTCTTTGGCAGCTCCTTCCTTCCCTTTTTCGGCTTCCGCTACTTCCCTGGCTCGGGCATCGATTTTAGCTATGAATTGGGCTTCTATCTTGGGGCATTCCAAAGTGAAGCGGTCTCCTTCCGTATCACAAATATAGCATTCAACGTCAATAACAACCCCCCAATTATGTTTGCACTTGTTATGCACGTTACCACAAAACACACAACCAATTGCATAACCCTTGGGAACTTCAGTTAATTGCGATGAATGTGAATGAAAATCAAGCCTATACATCAAAGATTAAAAAAACGTTGATAAATTCATATGCATTGGTTAGATCGGCCAAAGGCGAGGACAGGCAATGAGAAACTCACTGTAGGCGTTGTACCCCTCAATATACTTTTGTTCTCTCTCAGTTTCTGAAAAAAAAAAAAATATACATATATATTACAAGAAGAAACACATTTGGAATAATATCAGTAGCCAAGCAATATATCAAATCAAAGAAAACTTCGTTGAGGATTCATAAGCATTGGTAATCTACAAGTAGTAAAACAAAATTGTGATTTGAATGTGAATGAATATCAAGCCATTACATAAACCTATAAAAAAAAATACGTATTTTCAACATAAAACCAGAATTGTATCAACACAAAGAAAATAATTGGGAACGAAATTAATTTTAATTAAATTCAAGCACAGTAAGCAAAAACAAAAATTTATTGCTTAACATGGTTGGTAAGTACATATGCAGATTGCAAAGGAAGCCTCAAATTCAAAATTACGGATTATTTAATCTTCATTTAATTGCGATGAATGTGAATGAAAATCAAGCCTATACATCAAAAGAATTCTCATATTTTCAATATGAAAAAGGATTTTTTTTTGTCGAAACTCAGGAAATAGGTATGAAATTAAATTAAATTCAAAGTTTTGTTTAATTCGAAATTACAAATAATCTTCCTCCTTCACTCCCGAACCCTAAAAACAAAAACCAAAAACCCAAAAAAATAAAAGGAAAACTAATGAAAAAAGGCTTGAAAACTTTGAATTTTAACGATAAGGACAAAATAAAGTGTAAAGTGAATAGTACCAGGATTGATTAGTGTAAAAATGTGGTTTGTCGTTAAAGTGAACAGTACCGAGAGCTTTTCGTTAAAATTCCCAAAAATAAAAGCATACCGCTCATCTACGCTAGGGTTGGGTTCGCTCCCCGCCTGAGATTCCGATTCCGATTGCGATTGCGATTGCCTCGTTGGTTTTTCATGGCTTTGTTTTAGAGAGCAAGAGAATTGCACAAGTTTGATGGACTGTGGCTAGTTAGGGGTTAGAACAATTATATCGATTATTTTATATATACACACTTTTCCGTCTGATTTGACCATAATCCCTTGGCAATTTGTCAACCAAATTATTATTTTTTGTTGGAAATAAGCATATCTTTATATACTTACTTATCCGTATATTTTCTTGAAGCACACTCATTTTTACTTCCCACATTACATTTTAATTTTCAATCGTCGAATCACATGGATTGAAGAAAATCAAATGATAGAAATAAGTGTGTGGCCTTTCCTGAATGCAAGTAGCCAGCATAATGCGATTGATTATGTTTTTTGGCGAGCTTCTGGTAGATCGTAGAATTCATTGAATTTGAGCTCCATTCCGAGTATTTTTCAGGAATTTCTGCTTATTTTGCAGGAAAATTGCATGTAAGTAAGAATGAAATCGGTTTTGTTTTGTTTTTGAGCCTAATGTTGAGCTTCTGGTATATTGTGGTTTGCTTGAATTTTGAGCTCCATTCTATTCAAACTAGATTTTATAGGCAAAATGGTTTATGAGATTGGGATACCACTCATCAAAAATAATTGACGGCTAACAAATTTAAGGACTACTTTTATCGATTGCAAATTTTCAGGATCAATAGTGAGAAGTTATGTCAATTTTATAGACCATTTTGATTCTAAAACCTTCAAATGAATATCTATTTCCACGAAAAACTAATAAAAATTAGTAAAACCTGTATAGAAATTTAAGTATACTATAATTAAGTGATATGACATGTCCAACTCGGTCGTAAAGTTGTGATATAATAATATAATAAGAATAACATTATTATTAAGAAAAACTCGCAAATTTTGATTAATAATATGATAGTTGATCAAATATTGTTACCTGCCTTTCAAAGAGGCAATGCAAATATAATAAGCCCACGATACATCGATGGTCCTAGTAATGATGGTCCACTTGTGTCTTTAAATAGAAAGACAAAGAGCTTCTCTCATAGCAAAAATCTCACCGAGTCCTACCCTTGCGGAGTGAACATGCTTTCTATAATTGGGATGCTACCGATCTTCTGAGTTGATTTTCTCATTCTACTTTTTTGATTATCCTTCTCATAATGTTGTATGAATCGAGACCTAAGTTCAAAGATTGTGAACAAATAAATAGATTGCAAAAACACAAGGATCTTTGTGCAAACTCATTCATGTTACGTGGTAAAGTGTGCTACAATACATATATACCCAAGAGTTACCCTTTCCATTTGGTGAATGATGGAGATTCCCCTACCTTCCACTATGCTAGTATTGGACCAAGAAAGAGACATTGAAGTGGATATGGACTGCTCGATGTCTTCAAAAGTTGGGTGTGAATGTGATCCATACCCAAAAGTTTGTGAAAAATCCGACCACATCTCCTTGGATTGCAACTTTCGGAGCAAATATGCATCCATGTCTTCAGCTTCCGACTCGTCCCGCTGATCGTTGTTCTTCTTCTCCAACAAGTTAGCCACTTGTCGCATCGACGGTCTAGCATTTGGGTCAGGATATGCACACAACAATCCCAAATGCAAAACCCTTTCTACTTCCTCCTCATCAAACTCTCCCCTAGCCCTTAGCCTCTCATCAAAGGCTTGTAACAAGTTTCCTTGCACCATAAGTTCCCACACCCATTCCACCAAAGGTGGCCTCCCATCCTCTAGAGGCCTCCTCCCACACATCACTTCCAAAATCAAGATCCCGAACCCAAATATATCGGTTTGCTCTGATGCTCGCCCCATCCGGATCACTTCCGGGGCCAAGTAACCTACTGTTCCGACAACCCTAGTGGTGCCGAGGACTTCACCATGTCCATGCATCCTTGCCAACCCAAAATCCCCAAGCCTCCCATTCATTTCCTTATCAAGTAACACATTACTTGCCTTAATGTCCCTATGTAGGACTTTGGATTCCCAACCCTCATGCAAGTACAACACCCCTGAAGCCACATCTTTCAAAACCCTAATTCTGTCTTCAAAATTCAACATCTTATTCTCATCACAATCAAAAACCCTTTTGTCCAAACTCTCATTTTCCATGTAATCATACACTAACATGATTCTACCTTTCTCTCGCTTGCACCAACCTCTCAACCCTACCAAATTTCTGTGCTTCAACCTCCCAATGCTTGAAATCTCAGCCAAGAATTCCCTCATCCCATCATTTTCGTGAGAGATGCGCTTCACCGCGATCTTTGCCCCTCCTGCTAAAACACCCTTGTAAACCTTCCCATTGCCTCCAACTCCGATCACATTCTCTTCATCGAAACCCTTCGTCGACTTCTCGATTTCCTGATAAGTCATTCTATGTGGCCAGTACTCCAATTCCCAATCTTCCATTTCCTCCCTCTCCCTTGCTAGCCTCCTATGCCTCTTGACCAAAAACAGAGAAAACAGAGCAAGTATACAAATCACAAAAAATTCACCCACTGTGATCCCTGCAATGAAACCTTTTGATGCGAAAATCGAACTCTTTGGAAGCACAAAAGAAGGTAAACCAGAAGTGATCAAACTCTCACTCAACGAAAAGTTGGAATTGCTAAAACTCCATGCCAAAACCCTGTGGCTCTCAACTAACTGCCCCGTTGAACTTGTGAACCCAATAAACATTTCATCCAACAATACATCAGACAAATTGTAGCCAAAACTCAACAACGGTGTTTTCGGCCTTTTTGCGCCGGCCCGCACCATTGTAACATTGATCAAAAGATCCTTGTAATCAATCCAAACCTGGTAATTTTCCCCACTATTAAGCTTCAATTTCTTGAAACTTTTCTCATCACTTCCATCACTATTTTCCGGCCAAAACCCTGCCTCGTGTGCCTTGACAGATTGAAGAGAATTCAGATCGATGCCGACATGGTTGTCATCAATATCCGTGAACTCCTCATTCTTAAACACATCAAATTCAACACCGAAAACATGGTTGTCGGAGCTACCACCGTTGGTGAAGTTGAAGAGTCCGAGATGCTCGCTCGAGCTCGTCCCCTTGATGCCAGTTTGCGGCACAAAAATGAAGACCATGCCGTGACCGGCAAGTGTGTTCTTGTAAGGGGCAATGGAGAAAATGAAGGAAGTTGAGAAAGGGTATACGTACGATGAGTTAGGTTTTTTGGTAGGGATCTTGGATTTGTAGAGATCTCGACCGATGGAGAAGTTGGTGTTGTTTGTGAGCGTTAGGGTTCGAGATTCGACGCTGGCGTTGCTGTAGAGAAGCAACATGTCGGAGGAGTTGAAGCCGTTGAAGACAAAGTCGACAGCAAAAGCTGGTTGGCAGGATAGGATCGAAGGTAGTAGAATTACGAGGAGGAGAGGTTTGGGATTTGGTTTTGTTTTGTTCATTGTAGAGAAACTAAGGAAGTAGAAGACGTGAGTTAGGTCAGATGACCAGTTGGTGGAGTCGCTCAACTATAACTGATGCTGAATGTCCGGCCGTGAAGATTGGGGTAGTTCAGAATCTCCAAAGTAAAAGGGAAGAAGCTGAAAAAGGAGGAGGAGGGAGGGAAAGGGTCACACATGGAGTGTCGGGAAGTGAATGAAACAGGAGAATTGCAGGGAACGTAAGGAAGTGTTCTTTGTCCTTTTCGCATTAGCTAATAAGGTGAGTGTGCATGGTCAAGCACTCCAGGTCAGGAGATGTGTCTGTTTTTTGGGATTTGGATCGCATCCGGATCCAAATAGTTAAGGATCCTCACATTTTAGTCATTTATTGTACATCGTATTGTCAGAAATTATTTAAATTTTTTTATTTAAAATTAAACACATACAGTACCTAACAAAAACTGGTCGTACGATATACGATAAACGGTTAAGATGTGGGGATTTTTAGAATCTTTACAAAGAGAATCCGGAAAGGATCCTCATCCTTTTTTTTTTTCGCCCTTGGAGATGGCTTTAATTATGAAAATGGTAGGGTTTAGGAGGTGGGATTTGCTGTCTGGCTGAAGGCACACTTGCCGAATCGAAAGGCCACCATGAACATGCAAAGCAGCAGCATTCTTTCTGGAGAGTTGAAATTTCAAAGGGCAAAGAAGCCATCGGCTGATCGAATAAAAGTCCTCCCAGGTGTGATTTTATTTAAGTCAACTTATTTGGTCTGAGTTCGACCAAAAAAAAATTTATTTGGTCTAAGAATCGGAAAAATTAGTTGTTCCTTTGTGTATTCGGGTTCTTAATCACATTTTAGTGTTGCGATCTTTTTCGCCTTTGCATTTCTTTTTTGAATTAGATTAAAAGAATTTTTGTTTGAACGGAAATGAGTTGATTCTTCGATCCTTCTATATTTCTATCACTTTATTAAACAAAATTTAGTGAAAAAAAAAAAACAACATCTATCCATCATCAAACTGGTATCAACACAATATCGTAAAACTAATTTCAAAACCTCAGCTCCGACACCAAACTAAAATCAAAATAGTCATAAGACAAAATTCACTTGCCATGAATACCAAAATGGCATATTGGTTATTTCGGTAGAAATGTTGGCCAAAAATCCAGATTAAAAATCTGGAATTGAAGTTGAAGAGTCAATGGAATGGATGCCTTATTTTGATAGAAACGTTGGCTAGTTTCTAGGAAAAATCCAGATTAAAAATCCGGAATTGAGGTTGAAGAGTCAATGGAATGGATGCCTTATTTCGGTAGAAACGTTGGCCAGTTTCCAGGAAAAATCCAGATTAAAAATCCGGAATTGAGGTTGAAGAGTGAATGGAATGGATGTCTATTTTGTATGAACCAGAACGACCGCCATCAAATAAATAAAGTAAAATGTACACAAAACATAATGGAATGGATGCCTTTTTCTAGCTGCCGTTGGACTCTCTGTCAACAAACTTTTAAATGCATTCTGAACATGAATAGAGACATAAAATGTTATAATATAAGTGATTTCAACGTTTAATATATCAAATTGTGTTCTCGATATGCTGAAAAACCTGTCTTCTCCATTGAAGAGAAGGGAACAAATTATTAAACCCTAGTTGGCTGATATATAATATGTACTTTGGACATCCCAGAAAAATCTATCTGCTACCATACATTGAGAATGGAAAAAGAGTTGTTTTTGACTTTGGGGATAATTAGGTTTGGTTGGCCAAGTTAATACCTCTCAAATTCTTTTTTTCAGAATAATACCTCTCAAGTTGAACACAAAGAAAAGTCAGAATGAAAAAATAATTAAACATTTGATTATTATTTTTAGGATTGAATACATTTTACACTTTTCAAGTCTTAAGTGTTTTTTAAAATGTTTACGAATTTAATTTTCTTTTATATTGTATTATGTGAATTTAAAATTGTATTAATTTCTATCTTATGACGTTAGCATGATCATTTTTAAGTTGATAACGTGACAAGTGGGTAACTGTTTTCTGAGTTTATGTTGAAGCACACCTGCGCACATGAACCATAACTAGGCATCATGGAGCTTAAGCTTTTCCTCAGTACTTCGAATTCTAAAACAATAAACGAATGGTTTGGTTCAATTGGTTTAAGCGTGTTGCTTTTACCTATAAGCGGTTAACTATATGTCACATCATTAGTTTAACGGTAATATAGAACAAATGAATAAAAGACATAAAATGATTCAATTTTATAATACATAATGCAATGTGAGGGAAAAGAATCTTTAGACAATTTAATTATGGAAACCAACCTAAAACTTGAAAAAGTATAAAAGATAGAACATGGGTAGTGCTTTTTACATCCTATTTTTTACTTCTCACACGTCTCTCTCAATTTTTGGTTGTTAGATAAAATGAATTAAAGAAGACTAATGGTCAAAAATTAACAAGAATGTATGAGAGGTAAAAATGAGTGTGTGACTTGTACTTTCCTAGAACATTATTTACAATATTTGTAGAAATCTCAAGTTGGAACGTACGGTAAAGTAACATTTTGCAACAAACTAATGCCAACAAATTACTTGATTTTTGCAAGTAGAGAATATGAATTAGTATAATTAGTGATATGAAGTGTGGATATGGATAAGAGAGATGTATACGTTTTTATTTTTCCTATATTAAAAAAGAAATATGTTGTCTGATTATGTAGTAGATGTCACATTCCAGCCCCCGTCTCTACTACATCCCGAATTCGATTTCACCGTAGCACGATATTGTTCGCTTTAGGCCCCGACCACGCCCTCACGGCTTTGTTTCTGGGAACTCACGAGCAGCTTCCCAGTGGATCACCTATCCTGGAATTGCTCTCGCGTGAACTCGCTTAACTTCGGAGTTCCAATGGAACCCAAAGCTAGTGAGCTCCAAAAAAGCCTCGTGTTAGGTAAATATGAGAATATACATATAAGGCTTACAGAATCCTCATTCCTGGGCGATGTGGGATCTTACAATCCACCTCCCCTTAGTGGCCCGACGTCCTCGTCGGCACACATCCGACCAGGGATTGGCTTTGATACCAAATTGCCATATCCCCGCCTGGGCCCCCACCACATCCTGGGCTCAATTCCTCTGTAACACGATATTGTCCACTTTGGGCCCCTACCACGCCCTCACGATTTTGTTTCTAGGAACTCACACGAGAACTTCCCAGTGGGTCACCCATCTTGAGATTGCTCTCGCGCAAACTCGCTTAACTTCGGAGTTCCAATGGAACCCGAAGCCAGTCAGCTTCCAAAAGGCCTTATGCTAGGTAGAGATGAGAATATACATATAAGGCTTACAAGATCCTCACCCTTGGGCGATGTGGAATCTTACAAGGAACTCCGAAGCCAAGCGAGTTCGCGCGAGAGCAATCCTAGGATGGGTGACCCACTGGGAAGTTGCTCATGAGTTCCCAGAAACAAAACCAGAAGGGCGTGGTCGGGACCCAAAGCGGACAATATTGTGCTACGGTGGAGTCGAACACGGGATGTGGTGAGGGCCCAGGTCGGAGACTCGGAATGTGACAGTAGATTTTAATGAATTAAATTAATAATTTTCAGAATATAATTAAAATAAGGTTTAAGCACCTTAAATGGAAAAGAGATGGTGACTTTAACAGTTGGTGGCCTATCATAATCAGTGGTCAATAAATAATTTGAAGATTTGGTTTTCCAAACGGGTTTAAGTGACCATTTCAGAGTTCAGACTAATCTTTGCTACCTTTGGGAGGTTGCTGGCTTGATTAAACAACACCATAATCCGATTCATCATCATCACTAATTTTTATTCTGGTAAGCAAATAAGAAATGGTTATCATGGTTTGTTTGTTAGTGTTAGCAAGAAGCCCGTGTCTGAGTAATTTTTCGGTGTATTGAAATATAGGCATATAATGTTATTATTCCAATATGAATTTTATTTTATTTTATTATTAATTTACTTTAAAAGTAAGATATATTATGTTACGGATATAAAAACTGTGAACGGAGACTTGTGTGCACGACCCACGCACCACATGGTTTTGACAACCAATTGGCAACAACAATCCAATATCCAGATATATGGCGGCTGCAGATTGCATACCAGCTTATATGAAGATAATTTATTTATTTTTATATTTTTTTCCTTCCACCGACAAGTTCTACCAAACAGTAAGCAAGCGCGCGGGATTGCTCTAGGATTAGGGATTAATCATTAAAGTTAACACGTAATGAAACACTTTTAAAACCGAATTAATTCAATGACCACGTGCCTTAATTTACCTGCGGCAGCCACCTAGCAATATGTTAGCATGAGCATGCATGCGACTGTAAATAAGTTTGAAAATGGAGAGGCACTTGAAGTCGAGAAGTGAAAAGTGAAAAGTCAATCATACGTGCTGGTCAGTCAGCAAGGAAGCGTTATAAGTAGGGGGAGCACTTTCGAAAACCGAAATCGGAACACGGATCAAACGGTTTGGTTTTTACAGTTTTAAAATGGTTTCGGTCGAAATCAAGTTGCAGGAGAAGAAAAACAGTTTGGTTTCGGTTTTAACCATTTGAACCGATTAAACCGCACCAAAATAAAATTTAAAAAATTTACTTTACCACTCATATTAGATGTTGGGTTATAAGTTGTTATTTAGTTGAGTTCATACATTTAGTATGGATTCAATTACATCGTAACATGACTAAAATCTTTTCAACTATTTGGACTGTTAGTCTCAACTCGAGTCTAGACTTCTCCTTCAACCCCAATCGACATTATTCACACACGGTTCAAGGCGTTCCCCTTCAATTCCAGTCGATGATGATGAGATGATATTGTTCAAGCATCTACATTCTCGAATTGGTTATATTCTGCTTTTAATTTGTTTGCTGTTTCAAGCATCTATCTTGCAACTTTGTTATATAAGGAAACATAGTTCATGTGCTCAATTATCAAAGAAAAATATAACCAGTTTACCTTGATATATTCAAGGGGGAGTTGAGATCGTAGAGATGCATAGAGGATGGCCATTTCTTGTCTTCTTTGTCGTTCAATATCTCTATGCATGACTTTCGTCTTGCCCCTTGGTTTTTTTATCATCAATTTCACTAAACTGATGGATGAAGATTATATAAGAAGGAAGAGAAATGCTAAGAAGATTCTTTTAAAGTTAGGTTTCATGTACTCTTTATTACCTCACATTTTTGCACAGTATTTTATAAAGCTAGCACATAAATTATGCCAAAAATA